GGATACCTCGAGGAGCGCTTGTGTCTGCTCTTATCGGGGGCCAGTGGCATGATTCGGATGCCTCGAGGAGCCTCGTGGAACCAGAGGCCTCTCGGGTGCCTCTCAAAGTCGCCTGGGATGCCTCTGCGGGGGCGGGTTCCTGGGATCGGAGCGCGCCAGGGGCGGCGCCGGAGGCGCCGCCAGGTGGCCCCAGCGCCGATCCAAGAAAGCCTCACGGAGCTCCAGAAGTTCGATTTGCATGTCGGCGCTTACTCCACATGGGGAGCCACTCCAAAGAGCATGTTCATGCTTTTTTTCTGCATGTTTGATGTCTGTGCCGTTCCCCTCCAGCGGAAAAAGCCCTTTTCCCGAGGGGCCCAGCGCCGACCCGGGAACATCCGCGCGGAGCTCTGAGCAGCTGGTGTGGATGCGGTTGTGTGTGTGCTGATGTTTCTCCCCTGCGTGGACTCGCCACGTGGACTCGCCACGTTGTCGCCTCCTCGCCGTGCCGCCAAATGCAGCTCACATCACATGGCTTGCACCACATAGCCAACTCCACACGGCTTGCACCACACAGCTTGCCAGGGCTCGTTTCGATTCCTCCGATTCGATTCGATTCGATTTCGATGGTTCCCGATTCCGATTCGATTCGATTTTGGATTCCGATTCGGATTCCGATTTCTCAATGAGGCACTACTGCTCTGCCGATTTCCGCCGATTCGACTCCTCCGGACTTGGCTGCCGATTTCCGCCGATCCGATTAATTTCGATCGCCGATCCGACTTGTCGATCCGATTTTGGGCTCTCCTGGCTTGTTCCACATAGCTTGCACTACAAGATCTTGTACATCTGCCATGCAATAACTTACTGCTTGGGGTCCACGCTAGCTAGCATATACCTATGCCATTCTGAGTCTTCCGTCTCTCCCCCAAGAGGAGCCCCCTCCCATGCTCAAAACTCTCCTTCCCCCCCCTCCCTGGCCGCGAGGTGCACAAGCAGCGCGTGACGCAGGCGCTCGAGCTGGCCGGCTTCCTGCACCCAGACCCCGTCGTGATCGAGGAGGCCCCTCCCCCCCCCCCCATCCCAGGGGCAACGCAATGGGGGGGATAGGATAGGCTCGGGTGGGCTTCTGGAGGATCGAGGCTCGAGGTTTTCGGGCGGTTTTGTTGGGTCTCAGGCGGTTTGCCAGCCTCGTGGTGCTCTCCAGCAGCTGCGCCTCGCCGAGAGAGTTCCTGGGGCGCCAAGAGCGTCCCGAACGGCCGCCGGTCAGCCGAGTTATGGCTCGAACACCACAGGGGGGTGGGCTCTTTGAGGAAAGCATCGGCCCCCGATCACCCATTCATCGCCGATGGGAGCCTCATACTTCTTTCCTGCCAGAAACTTACCTGGCTAGCGTTGGGCGGTGATCCAGATCCAGCAGCTCGCTCTCATAGGGTCGAGCAGCTCACTGCACTCTGAGGCCTGTAACGCCTCAGGAGCCTCCGATGGAGTCATCCACAGCAGAGTTTCTTGTGAGGTGGTCTGCTTGCGAGCGGCATCATTCTTTCCTGCCGAGGAGTATGTCGATTTGCTATCGGAGGCCCATCGAGGATCTGTCGGCGTGGTATCGCCGAATCTGGATCCCCCCCTGACGTTCGCCCCCTTCACCCCCCCCCCGCCTGGCGACAGGTGCGCTCCGCAGTGGAAGTGGTTCACTCCCCGGTGGAAGGGTTCCCGGATAAGCTCGCGTCGTGAAAAGCCTAGGCGAGAGGTTTTTTTCTCCAGATGTTCGTCCTCTGGGGGCCCTCGCCGGGCCCCTAGGCCGTCAAAAAACCACTCGGGATGAATGAGCGGCCCTGGGGAACGGGTCGGGACTTCTTGGGACCCCGCGTTGACCAAATCAAAAGTTGTCGCATGTCTGGGCCCCCCACCTGGCGGCAGGTTCGCTCCCCAGTGGAAGGGTTAACTTCCCATTGGAAGGGTTCGTTCTTCCAGGCTTCTCAGATGGGCCTGGAGCAGATGGAGTCGGAGGATCGCGCCGCATTGCCGATGCACAGCGGTGTCCCCCGATGTGGAGCCCGATTTTCTCCGCGCTTGCGTCGCCGATGCACCGCCGACTCCGTCCACTCGGACCCGATGCAGGAGGCCTCGTGTTCCCTGGGGCCGAAGTTGGACATCTTACAGTCGGGGCCCTGAAGAAGGAACCCTTTTCGTTGGGGAGGGGCTCCGCGTTCCTTACGTGTTTCGCAGCTTGCCTCAGGTTTTCCTTATGTTTTCGATCGGAAGTCGAAGTTCAACTCATGGAAAAAAGGGGCCTCCTTCCTTATTTTGGGTTCCTTAGGTCAACGCCCCGACTGTACACTTTATTAAGGAAGCGCAGATGAGTTTTTCCTCGAAAGGAATCAAAGCGGCCTTCCTTCAGGGTACCTCATGTGCTTCCAGCTGCATGTCGCCAGGGAGCGAACCCTTTCAGAAACACTTCCGCGGCCGCCTCTCTGCCATCTCAGACCTTTCCTCTTGCAGTCACACGCCTATGCACACGTGCATTCGCGTGCACTTACACATGCACGCGTGCACATACACGTGTTCATGCAGAGGCACTTGCGTACATGCAGTTACGCAGTTGGCAACAGCGCCGTATTCTAGCAGGGGCCTGCGTGCATGCGCTGCCCCGAATTGGATAGATTGCCCCCTGGGTTGAAGCTGTCTTGCCAATGTCCGCATCGTGTCCTGGGTGTGATGTCGGCGTTTTCAAGATCTACGTGCTTGCTGGCTTCACCTCCGGCTCCTGTCCAAGGCGTACATTTTCCTGTGCAAGCTCTTCAGCACCGCCCGCACCCCGCGCCCTCCGGTCGCCTGAGGCCCCGCCCGCCCGCGCCCTGCCTCCCCAATTTGTGCTTTGCGCGGCCCGCCTAGCTCTGCACCGGAAGAGGCTCGCTCTCGACCCGCAGGCCAAAAAGTGCTTGCTGGCTTGAAGGCTCCTGCACGTCTGCAGCACGCCCGCGGCTGCCTCGCTCCGGTGACCACGGGGCAGGGGGCTCCACAGACCTCCCGCCCCCGCGCCTCCGCCGCGCTGCCCAGCCTGCGAGGACAGCCCGGCGTCCGCGGCAGGGGCCCCTGCCACGAAACACCCTGCTCGCCTCCATGGCGCCCTGGGTCTCCTGGGCTTCGATGGTCTTGCGATGGCTTCGACGGTCTTGCGGTGGACAGCGATGGACAGCGTGGACGCCCTGGGGCCTCAGGGTCGGGTTCCTCGTGGAAGGCTGCTTGCGGACGGGCCTCCACCGCAACCCGGCCCCTCGCCTCCCTACCCAGGCATGGCATCCCCCTCGCCCGGTGGCGCGCAGGCCTGCAGCGGTGGCCGGCGGCACCGGGGCCGAGCCGGCGGCGCGGCACCCTCGCGCCGTGGCACAGCGCTCTCGGAGGCGGCGAGCGCTGCGGCTGCCCCGCGGGTCGCTGCAGCGTCGGGCGTGGAGGTGCGGCACCGTCGCGCGGCGCGGCGCTCCCGGGGACGGCCCTCGCGGTCGCTCTCTCCCCCGGATCGCTCTCAAGTGTCGAAGGGCACCGATGCTGGTCGACCGCCTTGTCCCCCGCCTCGCCCAGTGGGTGCTCCTTCCCCCCCCAAAAAAAAGAATCAAAACACTTTACTAATGAAGACATTAGAGAACATATATATATATATATATATATATATATTATATATATATGTATACATATATATATATATATATATAAACAAAAACAAAACAAACAAAAAACAAAAAAACACCCCAGAGACGAGGCCCCAGTCCATGTGCCCAGCCGAGCGCGGCCTCCGGCCCTGCTCGGTTCCCGTGCCTCGGGCCCCCGCGCCCCGCGGCCTCTCCCGCCGCCCTCCCTCCCGCCGCCCTCCCTCCCGCAGCCCTCCGCGCCACCCGCGCTCCAGCAGCACCGCGACCCCCCCTCTTCTCCACCCCTGGCCCGCACCCCCCCCACGTCGCCCTCCCTCTCGCGCGCGCTCCAGCAGCACGCCCCCCCCCCCTCGACTCCAGCACCCCCCCCGATGGGGCCCTCCCCTCTCTCTCTCTCTCTCGCGACCTTCCCAGACGTGTGACGTCCTGATGTGTTTCCATGCGGGGTCCCTGGAAGGCCCGACCCGTTCCCCCGGACCCGTTTCTCGTCCTGCGTCGTTTTTGCTGGCGGCCCCGCGGCTCGGCGAGGGGTCCCCGAGGCCGGCAACGGCCCACAACCTCCCGCCCCGATGTTTGTTCACGACGCGATCATGTGTGGGTCAGGAGAGGAAAAAACACACAGACACAATTAATTCTCGATTCCCGAGAAAATATGGGAAAATATGGGAAGTGGGGGGGGGGAAGACAGAAACCCAGAACATCTGGGAAAATATGGGGAATATTTCGATGTGTGTGCATGTATTTGTGTGTCCTGGGGCCCCTTCAATGGGCTCCTCCGCGCGCTCCAGGCCTTCTCCTCCGTGAGCCCGATCTACGAAACCCTGGCCATGCGGGAGTTCACCAGGCGCCGCCGCGGGCCGCCCCGCGCGATGTCGACCGCGGGGCCGCCCCCCGGTGCTCCCGGAGGGCAGGGGTGCGGCCAGGAGCGCTTGCTCGGCGTGTCCCTTCTCCTCCTCCTCCTCCTCCTCCTCCTCCTATCCTCCTCCTCCTCATCTCTCCTATCCTCCTCCTCCTCCTCCTCCTCCTCCTCCTCCTCCTCCGGCTTATCCTCCTCCGTCTTATCCTCCTCCTCCTCTCCTCCTCCTCCTCCTCCTCCTCCTCCTCCTCCTCCTCCCTCCTCCTCCCCTTCCCCTGCCCCTCCCCCTCCCCCTCCCCTCCTCCTCCTCCTCCTCCTCCTCCTCCTCCTCCTCCTCCTCCTCCTCCTCCTCCTCCTCCTCCTCCTCCAGGCCCTCCGCTCACACTGCCCCGCCCTCCCCCCTCACCCCGCGAGAGCGGGGGATTCCTCCTCCCCCCCCTCCGTTTACCCCGCCCTACTCCTCCTCCGCCACTTCCTGCCCCCCCCCGCCTCCTCCGCCACTTCCTGCGCTTCGGCGCGCAGCGCCAAGCACGCCCCAGACCCCCGAGAGAGCCGGCGTCCGAGCTCTCTGCTCCGGCCTCCCGCCCCGCCGGGCAGGGCGGCGTGCGATATCCGCCTGCCGGGCGCCGCGGGTGCCGCAGGAGCCGCCGGCGGGCGGCACGCGGAGCCCAAGCTTCTGACCGTAGCAGGCAGGCCTCCTCCTCCTCCTCCTCCTCCTCCTCCTCCTCCTCCTCCTCGTCCTCCTCCTCCTCCTCCTCCTCCTCCTCCCCTCCTCCTCGCGTTCGCGTCGAGTGCCCCGGAGCTCTGCTGGCCTCCGAAGCTGAGCGGCGCAGGCCGCGCGTCCCGCGGAGCGGCGGGGCGCTGGCTCCACACCTTGTCGCAGCCAGCCGTCATAGGACAGGAAGGGCGGGCGGGCACACTGAGGAGGTGCCTCAGCGCCCGCCCCCCCCCCGTTCAGTCCAGCGCTCTCTCCCGGAAGGCGCCCCGCTCACACTGCAAGAGCGAGCGGCGCGGCACGCCTCACCTGGGGAGAGCTTCGCCGTATCAGGGTGCCTGCGAGGGCGCGGGAGCGAGCGCTAGGATGAAGATGCATTCCTCCAGAACGGGTGTGAACGCTCTCAGAGTGTCCGGGACCGCCACGAGGCGGCCGCGGCGACCGGCACAGTAGACACATCAAACGAGACATCGGCCTGTCAGCAGGTGCCCCACGGAGATGTATGACCCCCGATGGTCCCAGCGTCGCGGGGCCTGCAGAAGCTCTGGGGCGCCATGTGACTTAGGACACCTCAGTGATCGCCGAACATTGTGCCGCCCATATTTCTTACATCAAGATTTGGGGGCACTTGTGACTTGTCAGCCCTCGAATTCAGTATACGTGTGTATTACCTGCTGGTGGATAGTCACGGCGTGGCCATCAATGCTGCCCAACAAAGATAAGAATGCATTTGGTGTTGTCTGTGTCTACTGCACGTTCTCCAGGCTCTCCAGCTCTCAGAGACTCCTGATCTTATCTTCATCCGACTTGATCCTCGTCCTGCACTCCTCGTCCTAACCAGGGGCAAGGACAGGAGGGGGCGACTGGCTCAGCTTTTGGGCATGGCCACGCAGGGCTCTTGCGCGCACGTCTGCTCGGCCGCACAGGTTTGTGGAGAACTTCGAGGTTCTGGAGTTTGAACTGTTGGAGCAGGCCTGTCAGAGTGTCTTCGTTTGCCTCGGCTGCGCTCCCCCCGCTTATTGTCACATCCGATGCTGGATCCGTCTTCTCCGCTTGTGCATACTACACTTGATTAATGCACCGATGCTTATACAGGTGTGCAGGTATGGCGCTTGTGATTTCCTTGGTATGCGTGTTGTCAGCCTCTCTCTGTCTCTTTCTCTTTCTCTCTCTCTCTCTCTGTGTATGTCCCTCTCTCTTTCTCTCTCCCCTTCCCTCCCACACTGTATGTCTCGATGTGCCCACCACCATCCTCTGCACCCGCCAACTTTTCGCGTTGTTTCCCCCGCTATACTTCCCTCTGGCTTTTCCTCTCTCTCTCTCTCTTTCTCTTTCTCTCCATCTCCGTCCCTGGTAAGGTGAGTCTTCAGATGCACTCGTGCAGTGGCACAGAACATTACATTACATTGCCTGTGGTCTCAGAACATCAAACAGCCGATTCTTCAACATCAAAAAATCGTCTTCGTTTATTGGTCTGGACCTCAGCTTTGGCTTGTCCAGTCTTGCCAGCCTCTTTTCAGATACAGTATCATCTCAGCATGTTCCACTCAACATCTGGGACAATCGTGGTAGTCCCCAGATGAGCATTCCCTGGGACTCTTACGTTTGTCATACGTTTCTGGCCAGCTCCTCTCGGTTCACATTCGATCGATGTGGGATTCAATCAGGATGCAACTAGTTCCAAGGCTGGTCTTCTTCTCATAGAAAGTTTCAGAACATGTCGATGAGATTCCCATGACGTTCATGAGTGGCCAACTGAGCTCCCAAGGAGTTCCCGTTGGCTTCAAGAGATGGTCAAATTGGGTCCCCGAGGCTTTCACTGGGGCTTTCTGGATTCCCGTTCACCTTCTCAGGATGCGAAGGGTGATTCGCATGGGGTTCTCGTCCACCCTGCAAGCCCGCCAGGAAAGATATAGCCTTCAGGGCAGGTGGACGTTAATTAGCAGGTGCGCGCTGTCGGGCCAGAGACTCGCTGGTGCATGCGTGGCCAGCCGCGACACGACTGACACTCCTGGGTCGACCTGGAAGCAAGCCCACTCAGCCCATACTTTCTGCACGAACGAGATGGGCACGGAAAGAATGGGTACGATGCCCAACAGCAGTTCCCGTTCAGTTTGAACAGGATTTGCTGTCCGCGCCGCCGCGGCCTGTGTCCATTCGAGACAGAAGGCCGCCTACCCAACAGCGGCCGCTGTTGGTTTGGGACAACATTTGTTGTTGGGCACTGTACCCATTCTTTCGGTACCCATTTCGGGTGTCCAAAATACTTGTGTATTGCTCGCGCACGATCCCTGCGAGATTGAGCGGTTCCTCGGGATGGACCCACAGCGTCGGCACTGTTGGCCCCCCACGCGCACTCTGCGAACCGGCAGCTCGTGCGCACGTCCTTCACGTGCCTGCGCAGGTGCCCACCCACCCCCCTCCCCGGCGTCCTCCGCCGCCGCCCCCGCCACTCCGCCGCGAAGCCTTTCGCAGCCTCCGCCCCCGTTGGGACTCCGGAGCTCGCGGCGCGCCCGGCAGGCCTTCGACGACGTGGCCGCCGCGGAGTCGCAGGGCGAGGCGGGCGACGAGGTGCCCGTCGAGGCGTTCCCGGACATCGCCCGCATGGCGATGCCGAGGCCGGCGCGACGCCCACGTGGATTGGTTCGGCGTCAGAGGGTGAGCAGCGAGTAGCTTGGGGCTCGAACAAGAAAAACGCTAGAAACATAATATTTTGGCGCTCCGCGCGGATTTCTTGGATCCGCGCTGGGCCCCGAGCGCGCCAGGGGCGGCGCCGCTGGGGGGGGGGCCCAGCGCAAATCCGAGAAATCCGCGCGGAGCGCCTAAAGTTTATGTTCATGGTTCTCTAAGGGAACACGTTGGATGCGGTCTTGTGCAAGAGGGTCCGTTCCGCAGCGAGATACAGCAGCCGACGCGCGCTTTCTCGCTAACCAGCGCTGTTCCGATGCAGCTGCTGGCATATTGCGCCGGGGTGGACTGTCAAGAGAGGTCTCGTTCTGGCAGCCGCCCCGCTCTGCAGTTGCTGTGTCGAGCTAAGCGCTGGGTCCAGCCAGCCGCCAGGGCCTGGGTGGCTGCAGGGTGGTGAGGGCTCCCTCTCCCTACTCCTGTGGAGTCTAATGCAGTGCGGCCACATGCGGATCTCATGAGGCCCCAGTCCATTCGACCAGACGGTATACAGCGGGTCTCCTCCCAACTCCGTAGCCATTTGTTTGTGCATGTCGTATTGCATGCCGTACGCCGTTCTTGGCGTTATCGTTACGTTCCCGACCTGGCATTCAGGCCACTCCCCTGGCCATGCAGCTCAACACCTCGGCATCCTCGGAACCGAGCGGGTGGGGGGTTGCGCGCCGAATCGGGCCCATTTGGCCAGTGATCATATTGCTTGCCATCGGGGCGGGTATCGTCGGGCCAGATTTGCGCTACATGAGGCTGAACTTCTTTGCGCGGCATTACACGAGTCTTAGTGCAGATGACATTCGCTGCTCCGAAACCCCTGAAGAACAGTACTGCAGGGACGCGGTCACAGAGGACCTGCGATGGACTGTCGTGCTAGGTGTCATCTCTTCCGCTGTGAAGTTTGTGATGGGTCCACTGCTGGGTACGCTGAGCGACGCCTGGGGCCGGCGTCCTCTGCTCATTGCCTGCTCTGTGCTCGGACTGGCACCGACTGTGGCCCAAACCTTGTTTGTGTATTTCGACGTCAGTTTATACATCAGTTTCGCCCTCAGCCCTTTAGGGGACCTTCCAGTAGCTTCATTGTTCTTTGCCTACATCACGGACCGCGTCCCTGACAAGCGCAGCAGAGTTGTGGCCTTTGCGCTGGTCATGGCTGGGTTGGAGAGCGTGATCTTCTTGGGTCTGTTAGTCGGTGTCACGCTGCCCATGCGCACGGGCTTCGCTGTGTCGATATGCACCAACATGTGCTCGCTGCTCTACATTGTGTTCTTATTGCCGGAGTCTTTGCCTCGGGAGAAGCGCAGCGCAATCAGATTTCAAGCTGTGGTGCCGATAGCGGGTTTGAGCATCCTCTGGCGCAATCCCCTTTTCGTGCGGCTAACTTTCATCCTAGCCGCATCCTCGTTTTGCAATATTGGATTCGCGGACGTGAGGAACAGCTACTTGCAGCGATATCTACCTTGGACGCTCGAGGCCACATACATTTCGTCGATTGCGGGTTTGACCTCGTCTCTCCTCTGGCTGGGGTGTTTTCTGAGGTGGCTGACGGCCAGGCTGGGCAATGTGGGCGTCATGATCTTCGCGCAGCTGGCTACCACCGCGTACTGCCTTGCTCTTGGCTTCGCGTCCGACAACTGGCAGGTGTGGGCCCTGAGCGGCATCTTCTTTGGCCCCATGGCGCTCGCCTTCCCCTCCGTCTCCGCGCTGCAGAGCGGCCTGGTCGGCGACTCCGAGCAGGGCCGCCTGCAGGGCGCCCTGGGCACCGCCAAGGCCGTGGCGGAGGCGCTGGGGCCCATCTTCTTCGGCGTCGTCTTCGCGCGGTCGAACGGCGAGGCCGGCCAGTTAGGGGGGCCACATGCGGACCCGACCCCTACCGCCCACGATTTCTGAGGGGGAGGGTGGGGCTCACTTCGTGCGCGAGCTCCCGCACGAAGCGAGCCCCACCCTCCCCCTCAGAAATCGTGGGGGGTAGGGGTAGGGTCCACATGCGGCCCCCTACCAGTGGACGCCTCGCTCCAGGTCGGTGTTCTACTGGGCGTTCGCCATGTCCGTGCCGTCGCTCGCGGTGCTGGCCCGCCTGCCTCGCTGGTTGGAGCGCCACCCCCCGGTCGACGGCCTCGGGCATGGCGATGTCGCTGCCCCGCTGTGCAGGGACGACGGCGCCGCGCGCAGTGGTGGAGGCGCTGCGGACCGGCTTCCAGCGGCATCGTGGAAGAGATATTAGCCCAGTTAGCTGTGAATGGCCGCAGGTTGTCCAGGTCCAGTGCGGCTGTGGCTTTCTTCCTGGCAGGACCCAACATGCATGGATACAAGTGCTCTCCGCCCTGATCCCCCAGCTCCCTCACGGCCCCCTCCCGATTCGAGTTCGAGACCAGTTGGGGAGGGGGAGTGCGACAGGGGGGGGGGGAAGGAGGGGGCCCAGCGTTTCCCCTCTGGTCCCGAGCCTGGGCGGGTGGGGGAGCCCCCCCCGCCGCCACTCAAGGCGACCGAGGTGCGGAGGTGGCCAGCGCGGGCTCACGGCTCCGACCCCTTCCAGTCAACCCCCCTCTTACCCCCACTGCTCGCAGCTTTTGTTGTGCCCCAAGGCGCGCCAATCCAAAGAACAGGTGGGCGGCAAGCCAATCCAGAGTGCAGGTGTGCGATGGCCTACGACTGCGCCAATCCAGAACGCAGGTGGGCGGCAGGCAAGGCGAGGGTAGTCGAGGAGGCGGGCGCGCGATGCCTTGTGCGTTCTCTTCCAGAGGAGGTCGCTGCGCACGCGTCGGCCGCCAAGCGCGGCGCACTGCTTCGGCCGTTGGCGACTGCCGACAACAATGTGGTCCTGACGCGCGGTGCCCTGGCTTGGCAGGCTCTTGGGGGCCTGCTGGCGGCCTCGGGGGTCGTCTTGAGGACTGGGGCCCCTCTTGAGGCCGTACGGGGCCCTCTTCGGAGCCGCTTGGGTCGATCTCGGGAGCCACCTGGGCCCTCTTGGGCGGACGGGAATCCCACAGGGCGACAGCGCCATAGCCCTTCCCAAACCCACGCGGAATCCATGAATTTGGCCTGCTGGGGCCCTCTCGGGGGGGGACCTCCTGGGCCGTCTTGAGTCATCTCGGGCATCTTGGAGCGCTGTCGGGCCGACTCGAGGCCATCTTGGACCGTCTCGGGGGCCTCGGAGGGCCCTCTTGGCTCCAGAAGCGTCGCGCGGGGACACGCCCCGGACGCGGGAAACCATTTTGAGCATTCGTCGTTGGGGCCCGAGCATGTTACTCTTCTATCATTGAGGACTGAGGGCTCGAACAAGAACTTGATGGCACTCCAACTCATCAGGGCGCCGTGGCGGATACACACACAGACATTTTCATATATACACACACATGTATGCGTGTGCGTATGTGTGTTTGAGTGCACGCGTGTATGTATGTATGTATGTATGTATGTATGTATGTATGTATGTATGTATGTATGCATGCATGCATGTATGTATGTATGTATGTATGTATGCATGTATGTATGTATGTATGTATGTATGTATGTATGTATGTATGTATTTATGTATTTATGTATTTATGTATGTACGTACGTACGTATGTATGTGTGTATGCATGTGCGCATGTATGTATGTACGCATGTATGCATGCATGTGCTTATGTATGTATGAATGAATGTACGTATGCTCGCGTGTGTATATATCATGTATATGTATGCGCACGCAACTGTGTACTTATGTATGCATGTACGTATGCACGCATATCTGTATGTCTGTATGCATGTATGTTTGTATGATTCGCTGTCTGTTTGTCTGCCGGCCTGGCGGCCTGTCCTGTCTGTCGGACTGTCTGAATTTATCTTTGCATGTATGTTTTGTACAAGTGATCTATATATATATGTAGACATACATGTATATAACAGAGCGATACAAAGAAAGAGAAAGGGAGAGAGAAAGAGAGACAGCGACAGAGAGAGGGAGAGAGACAGAGAGAGATCGAGAGAGAGAGAGAGCGAGAAAGACAACAAACAAGAGAGGGAGCGAGGTAACGCGAGACCGACATATTTTTCGCCCAGGTGCCACGCAGGTTTTGAAGGGTGTGCTCCAGTTTGGCTTCATGCGTGTTTCTGGCTCGCCGATCCCGTAGGACATGGCGCTGTGCGCGAGATTGCTCCCGCCTCTCTGCCGTTCTCGCTTCAGTGCTCCTGGGTTGGTTGCGCGTTTGTGCTTCAGTGGTCGTTCTGCGCGGCAAGTTGCTGACGGTCTCCCCGGGACACAACAGGAGTGAACCGTCGGCAGACAGGAGGAACGTCGCCCTCACGAGCACGGCGTTGTAATTGTTGGTTGCCTCGATCACGCTGGTGCCACACAGGCGCGCAGTCGCCAAGACGACTGGTGGCACAACGCGCATTATTGTTTCGCCGTGAGCCGATCGACCGAGCAAACAGACACGACGGCTTGCTGCGGTGGCGTTGCTCGGGAGCTAGCTGCTGCAGGGGCGCGGCGCGGCTTCTCCCACCACGCCCCATGGAGGCGGAACCGCACTGGAAAGTGGGCAGCCATTCGGTTCGTACGGAGGCATCTGCCCAGTGAGTATTGTGCCGCGTTGCACATTGCATTTTGTAAGGACAGCGCGGCAAACCCACCGGCATTGCGGCATGCAGCGAGTCATGCGCAGTGGACCCCGTGTTCAGTGGTCGCCCCGTGTGCGAAGTCGCAGACCACATGGTCCCAACGTGGATCCAAACAGCGAAGAACTGGTGCAATCTACGCAGTGCAGCGCAGCGTAAAGCAACGCAACGCTATCAAGCAACAGCGGCACGTGGCCGCAAGCCGTGGCGCAACCGATTGGCGTAAGCTGTGGCCGCAAAGGAAGATCCGCGCCACGTGGCCGCATCTCATGGCGCAAACATGTGGCACAGCCCAGGGCCGCACGGACAAATGCTACACCGCGCAGCATTGGGTCCCCTCCACTCGAAGCAACAGACCCCAGGTGCAAGTGCTTGGGGAGTCGAAGCGTGGACCGCCCGTGTCCAAGTTGTCCACGTTGCACCCCCAGCTTCGGAGGAGGGCAAGTCAACTCAACCCTCGTATCTGGGCGTTGCAGTTTTTTCGCACCCAGCGTTCTGCAGGCCCTGGGACCATCAAAGGTCGATCCAGGCTTGAAAATGCAGCAGAAACAGTGGGTCTAGGGCTCGGGTCGTGCAGCGTCGGATCTCAGGGGACGGCAGCTTTCCCGCCTGGCCCGAATGCTGTCGAAATCGGTCTCTGGTCCCAAGGCCCTCCCCGTGGTCCGTCCTGGCCAGATTTTGCGAGGTGAATCCAGCCGTGGCGTCGAGAAGCCTCCAGGGGACCCCGAAAGGACAAAGGACGCCAGGGAGGGCCGCTGCTGTCTCGCCTGGCCCGCCTCCGACATGTGCGATCGAAGCTGCCCCGACAACAGGCCGCTGCTCAGGAGGCGAGCCGCGTATGTCTGGGCCTCCCGATGGGGTGTCAGAGCAGACGGGGTCGGTGTCTGTCAAGGGGAGCCCCGGGCGGCGACGCTGAACTCAGCGTTTTCCTGCTGCTCCTCCTCGCCCCACCCGTTCCTCCTCTCCCTCCCCGCTCTTCTCGCCTCCCTCTCGAGGGTGCGAATCCAGCCCAAGCCTGGTCCGCAGCAGGCGCCAACCGGGGCCGCGTAGGCTCCCATGGAACGGACACCGCAGATGGGCTCGGAGGTTCGCGCGACGCACCGCCGATGCGTCGCCGCTGCGGCTCGATGCGGAGCCCTGCTTTCGCCGCGCCGACGGCACCGAGGCATCGCCGACATCGCCGATGGATCGGCGATGCGGCGCGATCCTCCGGCCCCATTGACGCGGACCCAATCCAGGAGGCCTCTACGTCGGAGCAGTATCGGCGGCCAGCCCTGGGGTGAAGTGAGAAGGGGCTGGCCTTCCCAGGAGGCTCGGCAGTCCCCCAATCCTTCTGAGAAGTTTCCTGGGCCTTCCCCCGGGGGCGCAGGAAACTTCCCACAGGGCCGGAGGCCTCTGGAGACGTCCCGCCGCCTTCTGAGAAGGCCTTCTCCTTCTCACCTCCCCCCCCCTCGCGCGCCGCCGACAGCAGGGCGGCTCCCCGCGTGGGTGAGGCGGCAGGCGCCGCGCCAGCGCGCGCCGGCGCCGTTCCCCGTGGGGCGGCGCCAGGGGGGCGGCCGACCCCCAGAGGGCGGGGGGCTGCGACTCGGCATCGCCGGGGCGTGTGCGCTCTCTCGGCCTCCTGCTGCCTTGCTCGCGCGCTGCACGGCACGCGCGTGGGACACCGCAGCCTTCTGGCCCAGAAGAGGACCCAGGGTCCGAAACGCGCCGCCAGCTAAAAGTGGTTGAGATCGGCCATGCACCAAGTGCTGGGCCCTCGTGCGAAGCAGCTGCACGCACGAGGCCGAGAGAGAGGCACGAGAAACAGCGGCGTCCGAGCGACGGCGAGTCCAGGGAGGCGGGGGGCGGGGGGGCGGCCTACCCCAGCAGGCTGCGGGGCGGCCTGCCCGAGGAGGCGGGGGGGGTACTCTTGGCACCCCTCGGACGTGCGCATGCTTCTCGGCGAGGGCCATCGAGGAGCACCTCGGAGCATCCTGCGAGAAGGTACACGCACGAGATCGAGAAGTGCACGAGGAATGGACGTCCGAGCGATGGCGAGCATTGACATGCCCACATCTATAGCCCCCCCGTGGCCCTGCAAAGGAGGCCCCTGCTTTCCGAGATCCCTCCGCATTGTGCTCAGGAGGCCGCCCCCCTCGCGCCACCCACGCAAGGGGGGGGGGCACCCAGAGCGGGTTTCTTCATTGCTTGGGGCATGATGGGCGTTATAGCCCCCGCCCCCCCGCCCCCCCCCCCTATAACGTAACGCCCCTCCCCCCCAAGTGCGCTCGGGGCACTGCCTCCGTGCGCATCCGGATCTCCATCGGCGTCCGCATAGAGACCCGCACAGGAGCCTGGTCCCGCACTGGGAATCTCATGGGGATCCGTATAAGGAGGAGGAGGAGGAGGAGAAGGAGGAGGAGGAGGAGGAGGAGGAGGAGGTGGAGGTGGAGGTGGAGGTGGAGGTGGAGGTGGAGGTGGAGGTGGCGGAGGAGGGAGGAGGGAAGAACGTCGCATTCCATTATCAGCACTTCTCTGGCGTGGCGTTTATCTGTCCGCAGCAGATCCTCATCTACATGCTCGTTCTACCTGTCATGTGTACGCTGGCGCTGGTGTCTGCGTGCACGCGGATGCTTTGGTGCAGGCAGGCGCGGTGGTGTGCACAGGCGCTGCGGTGCACACAAGCATTGTGGTGTACACAGGCGCTGTGTTGCACATGGATGTTGCGGTGTTACACATTCGCTGTGGTGTACACCGGCGCTGTGGTGCCCGCAAGCATTGTGGTGTACAGGGGCGCTGCGTCTCACACGGCTGTTGCGGTGTACGCAGGAACTGTGGTGTACACGCGCGTTGTGGTGCCCGCGAGCATTGGTGTACACAGGCGCTGTGGGCAGGTCGCCACCTACATAGCCCCCGTGGCCCTGCCACTAAGGCCCCTGCCTTCTCGGACACCCCCCCGCCGTATTCGTTTCAGGAGGCCGTCTCCCTGGCGCCCCCTACCGTTGTGCGCGCCGCCAAGCCTCCCCCCGCACCCCCCCGAGATCGGCGCCCAGGCTGCACCTGCTGAGCGCTCCCCTGGAGGAGGTCCAGGAGGAGCTCGGCAAGCTGAACGGGCACGGGACCCTGTGCCTGGAAGAGGCCCCAGGGGCGGACGGCTCCAGCAGTCGCCCTGCGGGAGAGGGCAGCTTCAGGGCTGAACCTGTCTTTAGCTAACTTCTGGAGTCCGCGCGTTTGGTACAGTGGGTGCGTGAAATAAGACATCTTTTCCTGCCAGCCATGGGCCCCACAGAAGTTCTGTATCCCCCGAGGGGGCACCCTTAGAACCTTCACAGATAGACAAGGAATGCACCCCGAGATTCGGCCTAACTACGTAGCCATATTTTTGATTGTATGCGTCTACTGCGTAGGGTCGGGAACATCATCTGTTCTGACGTGCAGGCACGCTTGCGTCCAGGGGAGAGTAATTACGGTGGGATCGCCATTTGGGTAATTCGGTGTTGAATTGAGGAAGGAGGACGCGGCCTCGGAAAGAGGTGCGGCTTTGGCGGCCAGGCAGTGATGGGTGACAGGCCAGATTTCTGCAGGAGCGGGGCGCTTCAAAAGGGGAAGACTACGAAGGCCTTATTACGGCCGGTGCCGCTTACCCTGAGGGCGGGACCTCAACCTCCCCGACCCCCACGGGCGCTCCCCCCCAGGACTTGCCGGGCGGCATTCCGATCCAGTTCCTCCTCCTCCTCCTCCTCCTCCTCCTCCTCCTCCTCCCCCCTCCTCCTCCTCCTCCCCTCCTCCTCCTCACTCCTCCTCCTCCTCCTCCTCCTCCTCCTCCTCCTCTCCTCCTCCTCCTCCTCCTCCTCCTCCTCCTCCTCCCTCCTCCTCCTCCTCGCTCCTCCTCCTCCTCCTCCTCCTCCTCCTCCTCCTCCTCCTCCTCTCCCCTGGCCACAAGCGGGGACCACCCCCTATGGCCCCCCGTGCGCACGGGGGGGGGGGGATTGGGGGAGGGGGGGAGGGGTCGGGGCCTCGAGTTCCCGCTGTGCCCCCTAGTCCACCAGGGGGGCGGGGGAGGGGAGGGGGGGGGCAATTATTGAGGCCCCCCAGGGGGGACACCCACCACCCCTTGTCCTCCCCTGCCCACAGGAGGGACCGGGGAGGGTGGAGGGGGGGGGGGGTGCGTAATCAGACCTGGGCCCCCCCCCCATCACCCCACCCCAACTGGGGGGACCCCCCCTGTCCGCCTGGGAGGGGAAGGTGGGGGGCATTGAGTTCCCCTTGTCCGCAGGGGGGGGCCGCCCCACGTTCCCCCCTTGTCCTCCAAAGGGGGGACCGGGCGGGGGGGCGTGCGTAATCTGACCTGGGACCCCCTCAGTAACCCCCCACCCACCCATCCACGCCCCCCCCTGGTCAGGGAAGGGAAGAAGGGAATGCAATGGATTTAACTACGACCTTCGGTTTTTCTGTTCGTCCCTCCATTTCCTTGGGAACGGCGAGGGCGAGCGCGACGACGACGGCCACGGCGACGGCGGCGACGGCGGCGACGGCGACGGCGACGGCGACGACGGCGGAGCACTTTTCCAGCAGTGCCAGCCGCTGCCTTTGCTGCCTGGGCCGTGCCCGCCTGTCTGCCCCATCGGTCGGCGTGGGGTCGGTCGGCAGGCAAGGAGGTCGGTGCCGGTGCGGAGGGAGACGGCGAGAAGGAGCGTTACTTTTAAGTCGGGCCTGTGCCCCTACAGGGGGATTTTCGACGAAAAATAAAAAGTACCCCCAAAATAGTAAAACAAATAATCCAAAGATAGTCTGGGGACTATGTTTTGAGCATTTTTTGACCATTTGGGGGTATTTTGGGGTATTTTTTTATTTTTCGTCGAAAATCCCCCTGTAGGGGGACACGCCCGACTTAACGTTACTGTGCATCTTCGGGGGACCTTCCCTGTCCTGTAAGTTGCAATATTTTCTTGCGCTCCGACGTGGACGCGGCGCGGCTTCGACGTGAATCCGACGCGGATTTGGCACGGATTCGACACGGATTCGATATGGACTTGGTGCGTTCGA